AAATCTAAACCAGAAATTAAATTAGGTAAGCGTAGACTAAACTTAATGTCTGCATTCTACAGTTGGGTTGTTTTTAATATCTCATAAGCCAAGGCACATGGTAAGAATAGGAATGAAGCCATAAATTCTGTGTACTCATTAGACTTTTTTAATACCGTTTCACGGTGCATGCCCTAGTGCCAAGTAATCATATAAAATCCAGTTTTATTCATTGCTGTTCTTTATATTCTATATATTTCATGCTATAACCTTATAGCGTCCTGTTTGTATGTGTTACTGTATTTCATATTGCTGCAAGTCAAGCTTTGCAAATGTAATTGATTGTATTCTTCTAACACAGCTTGTCTCTTGTAATGTTCTGGCTATTTATTTATTTTTATTCCTCTTTTACATTTTTTAAAACTTATTTATTTATTTTGCTGACTGCTCAACTGTAAGAAGCGTTCTTGTAAGAAATAACTCTGGTGCAGGTCTGGCACAGGCTGTTAGATGGGCTGTGTTAATAAATGCTGTTCTGCTTTAATTTCTTTAGCAAATACCTACATTCACACTCCTGATTTTATATATTTCATTGGGGTTTATTCAGTAAAGCAGGAATTACTACATTGACCAGGAAAGTGCAAATTCTAGAAATTAATGGAAAAATCCTTCAACAATGCAAATTTTCCGACTTAGCGATTTCTGTGCAAATTTTATTATTTCTGGTCAAATCTCAGCTTAATGAATAACTAGTAATAAAAATAAAATATTACAAGTTTTTTGATACCGTGAGCATTCATGTATATTACTAACAAATTCCATGTATGCCAGTTAGAACGTTATGCGCTAAACTACCAATTTGGCAGCTTCTTACTGCATCCATCTTTGATTAATTCCTACAGAAGAGCACAATAATGACCAATAAAAAGGGGCGGAGCCAAGCATCCAAACTAGATTGGCTGAGGAAGGGAATGGATACCGGTGATCTCTGGCGACAAGCCTAGGGCGCCATAGACCCTGAGATGGCTGCCCTCACAGATGAGGGTTCTGATATCTCGGATTACTTCTCCCTGGGCACAGCGAAGGAATACTTACCTGTTCAGCGAACTCTCAAGCCGACCACCTCTCAATGGATACATCCCTGGTGACAACGGTGGTTATAAAAAAATATTTTTTTTAAATTACGCGCAGGCTTCAACACACCTTCCAGGCCAATATGGCCTACATTCGCAAAGACATATAGGGGCCTTAGAACACAATTATCACCAAAATGCCCAGCAAAGAGCACACCTACAATAAGCAGTGCACGAGCTACAACAGCAGCAAGCTAAAACTGATCAGCTGTTTGCAGCACTCAAGGACCAGAGGTGCAGCTTGACATCAAGGTACGAGGCATACCGGAAGACACAGCTGAGGCAGAATTACCACACCTCATGCGAAGTCTCCTACTAGCATTACTAAAGCCGGTATGGGACAGGAGGGGCTATTCCGACTCCAAATGCCGGTAAAAGCACTGTCCTCTGCCCCAAGAGGTTTCCTGACTACATTCATGACAGCGCCAAAGACAAAACAGCTGTCATGAATGTAGTCAGGAACCACTCACCTTACACCTCTGAGAGAATGTCACTCATGTTCTACGTGGACTTATCTGGGAACACATTGGCATGGTGGAAATCACTTCAGACCTTCACATCTCTCCTCCAATCCAACAGTATCACGTACCGGTGGAAGATGCCTTACACTGCTGGTGCACCAAGGTGAAGCAACATACCCAGTCCAGGATCTTCAGGGACTTTTGCCAACATTGGGCCTCCCGCAAGACTCTCTGGCCAAAGCACGGCCACGTGTTAACATCTCGCCAACACCGGAGGCCTACACAGCTGCCACTACTTGACCAGCTCCCGACAGTCTGCAGGTACAGGCGTGCAGTTACCCAAGACGACTATTCTGTTTGAGTCCTATTTAAGTATTCTTAGTCTTTTATGTTCATGTTTCAAATTTTTCTGTCCACACTACCCAGGAATGTTATCCCCTTTTTTATGGGCGCAGATGAGTTCACACACCCACCTCCCCCCTCTATGCAGAATGCCATACAATCATTCACTGACTCACACTACTTCACTAGCTAAGGGGGCCCGACCCAAATACACAACACTTGGGGTACCAGTTTGCACCTGTACATATGGGCTGATCACCACCGCACTTATTGACCAAAACCAACAGAGCATCCCTAATGCTGCCACACCAGACCATAACTCCCTCCTTAGGAAACCTGCTACCCTACCCTCTCCTCCCCCACTGCACAGCACCAACAGTCAGTGGTGTATCCTGGTTTTGTGCTGCCCTAGGCAGGACAAAACTCAGGAGCCCCCCGCGCCACCCCCGCCCCATCTTCTAAATACACACACACAGTCAGACACAAACACACACACACACAGTCAGACACATACACACACACAGTCAGACACATACACACACACAGTCAGACACATACACACACACAGTCAAGACACATACACACACACACACACAGTCAGGCGTTTGGTTTTACACACAGTCAGACACATACACACACACACACACACAGTCAGACACATACACACACACACAGTCAGACACATACACACACACACACTCCAGACACATACACGCACACACAGACACAAACACCTGCGAACACACACATTAACTTTTTAATTTGGAAATCCCCCAGCCTCCTTACCTTTGGGGTGCTGGGGAGAATCTCTCTCTCCCTGGTGGTCCCAGTGGCTGCGGTCGGGCTGCAGGCAGCACTCCTGGCTGCTGGTGGCTGAGGCTGGCGAGGAGCTCTTCCTCTGAGCTGACTGCTCAGCTCCCTGGCGCCCGCCAGAGTGAGGCTGGGAGCGGAGATGGCGTCATTCCAAACCACTCCCTCCTGCGGCCTTCAGCTGTTACCTAACCAGCCCTCTCTGCGCACCGCTCCACTCCCTTCCTTCGCTCGGGATGTCAGTTAGCCGCAAGGCTAACTAGGCATTTGCCCTGGGCATTTGGGGTGCGGCGTTTTTTGCCGCCCCCTGAAAAATGCCGCCCAAGGCAAATGCCTTGTTTGCCTCGCGGCTAATACGTCCCTGCCAACAGTGCCACTCCCCAGTACCAAAGCCCTTGGTCTCAGTTTAAATTTTATTTCTATCTACATAGTGGAATTATAAATGAGTTCCATATCTTGTATTATCTCAACGCTTAGAGAGAACAATCCAGGGAACCAAAAACAAACCGCACCAGACTCCATTCCACAACATCAGAGCTATCCTTCAAAATCAGCACCACTGAACTACCCCTCCCCCTCACCACCACCAAGTGAGGGGTAGTCTGTATCACTCTACTGGGCCTCTCAATACTCTATACTCGGTGATACCCAACTTCGCTACATCTCATTTATCATACATAAAAATTGTGCTGTCAATCTGCATGCCATATTGCATTGTTGTACCGACTGAGCTTGTCTGTTGTTGTGGCATTGTAAGCTCATATGTTATACTAAACACAAGAAAAATAAAGTGTGTGTGTGTGTATATGTATGTGTGTATATATATATATATATATATATATATATATATATATATATATATATATATATATATATAAAAATGGATGCAAAGAAATAATATAAAAAAGTCTTAAAACAATATGGCACTGCTGACTGATGTCAACGTAGACAATCTAATCTTATTCCTGATGTTTTTATTCCTCTATAGTGTAAGCTCATTTAAGGTCCTCTTCAACCTATTGTTCCTGTAAGTTTTTGTAATTGTATTGTTAAATCTCCCCTTCTGATAATATTGTAAAATGATCTGGAATATGCTGACGCTATATAAATACCAATAATAATTACGGCTTTATGAGTTTTTTGTTTTTTTTCTCCATCACAGCATTTTCTCCCTTAGTTAGCATTGCTGTTTGCTATTTTTCTGCATACAGTTTTGACCTGACCCAAGATTACCCTTGACAGCCACTAGAGGCTCTTCCGCAAAGTAATGGAGTAAAACTCCACTATTTCTATCAGGTGATGTTACAGACTGGAAAGCACTGGATTGGCTAAGATCATTGACCTTGATGATCTCTGCCAAAAAGTTGGAGCTACACGCTGAAGACCTTCGCATCGAGGAAAAGAAGGTGCGTATAAGTACTGTTTTAACTCTGCCAACAGGGGCTGGGCCATCTAAACGGTGACTAGGGCACTATAACCTTAGGAATACACTTTTATATCCCTAACGCTATAGTGTTCCTTTAACAATTGTATCAGAATCCTGTTCATGAGTGGAGGCCGACGGCTGCCCAACCCCGAAGGGACCACAAAGAGGATCTACTTTCCTGTTGTGTTGTTTACGGACCATGCTGTGAATTTACTCCCAGCTGAGCCAATATATTTTAGCAGATACCACCCTTTATCATTATCTCTATGGTGAGCTTTTAATGATCTGGGTTTAGTGAGTTCTGATATCGATTGAGAGCCAAGTTTAAATTTTTATTTAAAGAAAATGTCGGCTAAACCTCTTAGAACAGGGGTAGGCAACCACTGGCACTCCAGATGTTGTGGACTATATCACCAATAATCTTACAGCCATAGTGCTGGCAGAGCATCAGGGAAGATGTAGTCCACAACATCTGGAGTGCCGAATGTTACCTAACCCTGTCTTACAATCAACGATCCTCATGGGAAACATTTATCAAAACCTCTCATGTGCGTAGTTATCTATCATTGGTCTAGGAAACATTAGATTGTGATAGTTTAGTTTGGGGAAACGCTCAGATCTCATGAGAGGAACCTGGCTAGAGCTCCCCGGGTCCTCTCCATCCTCCCTCCATGCTGCTGTGATCTCTTTTGATCTCCCCGCCGGCCCATGGAGGCTTAGAGCAGAGCCGGTACTCAGATAGCGCCAGCTCTGCATGAGCCGACAGGGGAGATCTGGAGATCTCCCCTGCCAGCAGGGGTCAAGTCCTCCCAAGATTCCCACCCCTCCAAAAAAAATAATATACACTCGTGTGTGTGTGTGTGTGTGTGTGTGTGTGTATATGTGTGTGTATGTATATACATATAATATACACGTACACACACTTACAGACACACACACATATATTCAAAGACACTTATACACACACACTTACAGACACATACATTTACAGACACACTTACAGGCACACACACATATACACTCAGACAGACACACACATACTCATACACTTACAGACACATACATTCACAGACACACATACATACATACATGCACACACATTCACAGACTCACAGACACACACTCACAGACACTCACACACATACACACACAGACACACATTCACAAATTATTATTTTTTTAATTAAAAATTGTCCACCCAGCCTCCCTACCTGGAGAGCTGGCGTGGACTTGTCCCTGGGGTCCAGTGGGTCGGGCGCCTACCTCCTTACAACAAGCGGCGAGGGAGCTGTGTGCTCTCTGCTTCCTCTTGCCGCGCCAGGGCTGTATGCTGTAGCTGGGAGCCTGAATATGACCTCATATTCCGGCTCCCGCCATCAGTAAACGACGCGCGGTGAGAGGGAACAAAGAGGACACAGCTCACAGGACTCACAGGCATGCTGCAGGGATTAGGGTGTGCCCCGGCACACCCCGTGCGCACGCCTATGTATATGTTAATACTGAAGTTAACTGCTGCTTTGGTGCTCATCCTGGCACCTGCTGGTGGCCTATAGTCCTTTCTTTTTGTCCTGGTACATAGAGAATAATGCTTATGGGTAGAATTAAATTGTAGATTATTGTAACATACTCTTATTTATAGAGGATAGGTGGGAATAGGATTCCCCTGAACATAAATAATACGCACACATGTACACACACTCTATGATCTGCCTCTTGTTTCGATGAGCAGATAATCTTTTTATATCCTGTGTTGCCCAGCAAGTGATGTCACACCATGGAAAAAGCATGAAAGAGCATCGGTACAAAGCAGTGGATGTGTAGCTCCCACCAATCTCAGACAGACCTGCACGGGTATCCCAGTTTTGCATAACAGAAGAAGACCCCCTAACCCTAAATCTAAATAGGCCTGCAATTTTAAGATGTTATATAATGCTATATTGTGTAATATTGGAATTCAGAGTGTGTGTGTTGAAGGATCTCCGGAATGTCTGTCATTCCAAAATTCTGATTGTCTGTTAAAAAGGCATTACAGTGTGTTGTAATATGTCAAACATTGCTAGGCTACTATAGTTGCTCCTAAAACCTTGGACAGCTAGCAGATCATGGAGATGGCTACCAGGCCAGCACACAAAACTCATACTGGAGAGGCTAGATGCTAAAGCAGCATGAAATGAGTTAATTCTTCTCATTTAGATAGAATGATTGTAATAATGTGATTTTCCTTGGCCACATGTGTAATGATCTGCTGACTTGGTTGGGTCCGTTGGCCAGGTTTGTACAGTGTCGGTAGCCGTTGAGAGCTGTCTTGGCATTACTAACTGCTGAGCGCTAGTAACCGCTGAGTGCTATCTTGGCCTTGGTATTAGCAGCCACTTTGTGCTGTCTTCACCTGTTTATGATGTGTGTCTGATAAAGAGGTGCTGTCTTTACTAAATATGGTGTGATGTAACACCCTCATTAGTACCCACTTGTTGTTGCCGGAGTATTTATCGTAGTTTAAAGAGTACATCCAGGCCATTGGCTTTATAAACTATGATTTGAGATAGACAGCTGCATATTTTTAGAGATGCCTTCACTAGCTAAGCTGTGCAAAAGAGACCGTCGAGACACACATATTGTTGTATATTAATATATACATGCATATTTTTACATACACACAAGCAGGTTTCAGTGTTTCTATAGGAACAGGAATCTTTTTCATTGCCCTTCAACGTCTGTTGGCGTCACTGTGTTCTGGATTTTAAACCACCACTTATTTCCGCTCCGTTCTGTTCTGTTTAAGTATGCGGATGGACTGACTTTTTAAAGGGGCAGCACATTCTCCCTCCCATCGCCTCAAGGCATTACTAACCACACAAGCAGAGAAAGCTGTCTATTTGTAGTGTTAACGCGTCTTTAATTAAGACATCTTAGCAGATTAGGGTTTACTAAGATAACTTTTGCGCTCAAATAGGATATTTTATTTTATTTTTATACGGAACTGTAGATTCTTCTGATATCAGGGTTTTATTATGGAATTAGTATTGATGGAATCCATTCTATGAGAAAACTAAGCAGTATCTTGTCTTGATCAAGCAGGTGAAAAACTATGTAACATGGACTGATCATCATAGAGGCAACAAGTGTCTGTTAAGGAAGCAGATGTCACAAAGTGAAATGTGGAGAAGATAGCCCATTGTACAGCGCTGCGGAATCTGTTGGCGCTTTATAAATATTAATAGTATCTGGCAGGAGCCAATCAACAGAATTCTTTCTTATCGAGAACGTCATTATAAGATGGTATGAAATATCTAGTTCACAAATTAGAATTATCTGTAATATATTAAAGGAACACTATAGAATCATAAACACAAATGTGTATTCCTGGCTATGTGTATTAAGCTAGCTATTTACCCCCTCAGTACCCCTTAAATAGCTGTAAAACTCACCTTATTTCCAGAGCCTTGGCTGACATCATCAGAAGTGATGATATCTGCCAATCACAATGCTTTACCATAGGAGAGTACTGGATTGGCTGAGATAGTCAATTCTGTTGATCTCAGCCAAGGAGGTGGCCCAGAGAAACCAAATGTCACACTTCCGAATCAGCATCTCCTCATAGAGATGCATATCTATGAGGAAAGGTCATCATCTCCATGCAAAACATGGAGATGCGGAACATTACTGACCCAGGAAGCACCTCCAGGGGCTGACTGAGGAGTGACCACTAGAGGTGTTACTTTTTTCATTTTTTTCACTACAATTCTTATTTTTGCAATAGGTCTACCTATGCTTGGAAGATTCCGCCTCTAAATTCATTTTTTATTATATCGTCTCACTTGGAGAATATCTAGATTAATCTAGCAAGTGGTAAAAACGATTTTTAGTTTGATAAAAAGAAATAAGGAACAGGAAATCACTGTTTAATAGACGTAATCATCCTTTGGTAAAGGTTTGTCCGCAATGCTTCAGTGGAACAATGCAATGTGCCCATGGCTAGAAGCGTACTTACAGAATTAAGAGATTGTAGAATTGAGAGATATGAAAAGCCAGATTATCCCATAGGAGGAAGGCTTTATTATGTATTCAAAGTTTTGGGAAATTTCTCAAGACATGTAGTTTGTAAACACTGTTCTCACAAGATACACAATAAAATTCCTTGAAAAACATCCAGATTGCATGATATATTTTCAGATGAGACTTAGAAATGATCTGATATTTCAGAGACTGAAAACCTGGGCTATCTGCAGTATTCAAAAAGCTGTGAGCTGTGCTCACATTAATTGTTTTAGATTTTTTTTTTTTTTTATGTTTCTACATTATTTCCCTAAAAGAAATGTTTTTTTGTACAATTCTGCACCATACGTCTGCATCCTTAGCCATGCCACCTCATGCTTGAAATACTTCCTTATTAAATGTATGTATACACATCATCCCTAACAACACTATATTAGCGGCTTTTAAATGCACAACCTGGCTGCAGAAAGTGAGAATCTTCAAACTGATCTCAGTGATATCCTTATTACATGCCGCTGTGGGTGTCCTTCTAATGCAGCTTTACTTTGTAGTCCAGACCATTTAGTACTGTCAGTGACTGAGCTGTGCACACAATTGATAAGGAAGTATTTTTTCTGAAATGAGGGGGCGTGGCTGAAGAGGCCGGTTTATATTCCAACATTCCGTAAAACATTTATTAATTTAATGCAAAATCTACTAAGATTTGAGCATGCAAAAATACAGCATTTTAATGAAGTCAAATCCTACTAAGTGTATTAAAGTTGTGTTGGTGCCAGGAGTGTCTCTTTAATTAAATAATTCTCTAACATTGTATCCAGTGGCGTACACACAGCCCATGGGGCCCCGGTTCGAAAATTGATCCGTGGGCCCCCACCCCCTTCCCTGTGCTTACTCTGCGCGGGCCGGGGCCACAACACATGGCGGCGGGCTCCTGGTCGCAGGGGTCAAAGCCCTGCGACCCCTGTAACCAGATGCCCCCCGCCATGTGTTGCGGCCCCCGCCCGCGCGGTATGTACGCCAGTGCATGCAGATACACATACACTTAAAGGACCACTACAGACACCCAGATCACATCAGCTCAATGAAGTTGTCTGGGTGCCAGGTCCCTCTAGTTATAACCCTGCAGCCGTAAACATAGCAATTTCAGAGAAACTTATGTTTCACTGAGGGTTAGTCAGCCTCTAGTGGCTGTCTCATTGACAGCCGCTAGAGGAGCTTCCGCGATTCTCATTGTGAAAATCACAGTGAGAAGACTCTGAACGTCCATAGGAAAGCATTGAGTAATGCTTTCCTATGGGCTGTTTGAATGTGCACGTGGCTCTTGCCGCGCATGCGCATTCGGAGCTGAGAGGTGGACCGGGCGGAGGGATTCCCAGCGCCAAGGGATTCTGGCGCTGAGAAAGGTAAGTGCTGAAGACACGCACTCTCACAAACAGATGCATACACATTACCGAACAGACGCATACACACTAGCTAACAGACACACACACTCTCACTAACAGATGCATACACACTAGCTAACAGACACACACACACACAATCTCACGAACAGACGCATACACACTAACACACACATTTACTGACAGACACACACTCAGTGACATACATAAACACTCACTGACAGACACATACACACTCACTAACAGATCCCAAACAGGTGCTGAGGGGATTACCTGGGGTCCAGGGGTGTTGCTGGACGGCCGGTTACCCGGCAGGCTGGCAGACGCACGAGGGAGCACTCTCCCCTGAGTGCTCCCTGTTCAGCTCCCTCGCGCGCTGCGTACTGATGCCGGAGCTGGAATATGACGTCATATTCCGGCATCAGTACGCAGCGCGCGACGGAGCTGGGCAGAGAGCGCTCAGGGGACAGTGCTCCCTCGCGCTCCCACCAGCCTGCCCCCCTGATGGGCCCCGCAGGAGAAGAGGCTGGCCACCCCTGCGA